CAACCCACCAACCCACCAGCCCACCAACCCACCAACCTACCAACCCACCAATCTACCAACCCACCAATCTACCAACCTACTCTCACCAGAGCAACATTCTTCAAAACCTTGCCTAGTTGGTCCGCACGGCAATGAATAATGCCACATTTCAATAAAATGCCCACTCCTATCAGTCTACATGTACATTAGTAGTGTATTTCTGTGCTTTCCCATGACATTGTTATGGCTTGTCAAAACAGATTTATACAGGATTTGTGCCATCGCGTGATGAATCACAGAATCAATTGTTCCTGCCTTCGGTCATGGCTGCCATCACGTGATGGTGCAAAGCCTCTATTGATAAAGAACAAACTGGTGTCTCAAGACTTTTTCCCAATAGATCCTAATGAGTTTTGTTTGATTCCAAAGGTATGAATTCTATTGCCATATATTGCGGCTCAGAACTGATCGGAGAACACTTTCCATTCAGCTGGAATCTGGAGGAATATCACACACATGGAGAACAGCTGCTGATGAACCTCGTGGGGACTGGATGTTGGTTAGCCCTGGCTTATTATATGTATTACATAGAATTCTTTGTTAAAATATAATCAAATAATTTGCAAAAAATATGGTTACCATGGCTACCATGGTAATACATTTGCGCATGCGTTCCAAAAATGTTTGCATAAAAATTGATTGATTTAATAAGACAAGTGAGTCGTATCATAACCCAAAATATCTTTAATAATCATATCACATCAAAATATTGTTAATTGATATCTGTATTCCAATGGACGTTTCCGAACAACTCTCATCCACTATCCATCCCAATATGCAAAGCAAACTTTAAAGATCGTGCGCATTGGAAGTATGACGTCATGTTCTACAAGCCTGTTTACCCAGGATTCATTGGGCTGGCGGGAAACATGAAGATAAGAAATAAATAAGATAAGGAAATATTCAACTGGACACCAGATTTCCACACATTGACATACACCTACAGACAAAGATCTGCTATGTTACTCCTTTTTAAAAAATCGCTGGTGAGTTATAGAATATTTCCTGCTATTAGTCAAGCCATTCTCGTAAGCACATAGTCTATTAAAGATATATAAATGTATAGATAAAAACCTTAGTTGGAAACTAATAATAAGAATTATACGTGCCACACAGGCATAAAGGATAATGATGATAGGATAAACGATGAAAGGATAAACGATGGAAGATGATTTTCATTTTTTGAAGCAAATGCAATTATTTGCGACATTTCAGTCCAAATCCCTTTTAATAATTAATTCAGCGTTTCTTACGATTTTTTAGTTTTTATTTTGAATGCCAAAGAATCAAAACGAGAGTAATCTGTAGTTGTATATGCCATTCTTTAGCTTCTAAATTGTCTGAGCTCCCTTCAGTAAACATGCAGATAGAAAGACAGAAAAAACAGATAGTGTATTTTTCTCTAATTGCCTTCATGTTGCAACGTTTTCTGGTTAAGATTGGTAGACGTTCACTACAATAAACATCTTTCTGTATTTGGTACTTCACTGTTGTATTTCGCTTCATTTCTGCATAGTTCTTTAGATCTTTTTGTTTGCAGTCAAACTTTTTATCGAGATTTCTTACAAATGTAAGCTGTAAGTTTTCGCCCACATGACACAGGTCTAAACAAACCATTAGATGCCTGTATTACTCCACATGAGTCTGTCTTGCCTTTTCTCTTCGAGGTGTCCCATTTTGATACGGTTACGGTGCCTCCCTTAGACCATCTCCACACCCCATCTCCCTTATACATTAACCCAATAGCATATGAAGAAGAAACTGTCGTTTTGAGGTGGCGCTTCACGAATTTCCATTCTTTGTTGTCATGGAGATGAAGAAGACTTGCTTTATACTTTTTACACCTATTTTTGAGTCGATTCCAAGATTGTGGTTTTCCTATTTTATGCTTGAAGAAATAGCAAGCATCGTTATGTTGTATCCAACGCCTAGGACATGGCTGCCATGGCTGTAATGTCGCTGAAAGGTAAGACGACGCATTTGAGACTCAACATTCAGTGACACTAAAATTATTATTATTATAAATATGAATACTCACTTTTACACTTAGGTGCTTGTGAACTCCAAGTCCCATCATCCAGACAGACACTTCGATCACTTCCCACCATCACGTGATTCTTGTTACACGTGAATGTCACGCTAGATCTGTAGGTGTAGTTACCATGGATACTCATGGCTCCATTTACAGGTGCGTTGATCTTGTCACACAATCTCTCTTTTAATTTACAAATTAAGAAAAAGAACTAGAGTTAGAAAATCCCACCAATGAAGACTCGTTATTTCTATAGTAAACAGCGACGGTGGTTGAGGAGCTGGCCCTTTCGAAAACCTGGTAACGAGTAGGGTGCGCGATGAATTATCGCGCTGTTTGAGGTTTGGCTTTTTAATTTTACAGGTTTTAGTTTTTGAATCGAGTCTTATTTACATTGGTTTTCTGTCTGCTTTTCAAAAGAGTTTGCTAAGCTTACCGCCATATTGAAAAGATGGCAACCCCATAATTAACAGCCCCATGATTGAACACGCGTCTTCCTCGTTACAGTTTCTTTAAATATTGGTCTTACTTTTGCATTGTGGTTGTGTTCCTGACCAGTTGCCATTGCCTTGACATACTCTCAAACTGGATCCAATCAGACGGTATCCTCGTCTTGTGCATCTGAACTTGACTCTGCTTAGATATGTTGTCCTGGTGACGTCTTTGAAGCCGTTAATGGGAGTTGGTAAATCACCACAATCAACAGCTACATTGACGAAACGAGTATATCAATGTGAATTTAAGCGGACAAACGAAGTACGATATCTGCTTTATGCATTGTCGGCGCAGGTGTCGGTTTGTCGTATTTTCTTTCGTTTTCAGTTCTTAAATAGCGCAGCGCGCTGATTCTAAAAATAGCTTAAAGATTCGGACAAACATTGCATTCTGTTTAACCGCTACGAGGATTATACGAACCAATTTTATTATTTTTACTTAAAGTTACAATAATAACCCATGTAAACTAAGATCAACTGCGATCGGCTGTGAAAATTATCTGCTGAAAGTAAACTTGTAAGTTTGTTTGTCCGAATTTTGCCTTTGTCTTCGTTTTTATGACGTCACGGCTGCGCTGCGCTATTGCGTGAAACGAGAGAAAACCGTTAAAAGAGTGTTACAATAGAAATACTTACGTGTGCAAAGAGGTGTGATTCCACTCCAAGAGCCATTAGTCAAACATTCCCTCATGGATGATCCACGCATCGCGTTACCGGGAAAGCAGTAATAGTAGACTTTACTCTTGACCTTGTAAACCAGCCCATCTTTATATCCATTGACAGGAGTTCCAGGGTCCCCACAACTCTTCGCTGCAACAAATAAATATTGATCATTAGTTGGTGTCCAAGGGCGAATCCTTGAAGAAAGGAAGGATGGTCCAAACTCTAGACGTGTAATTGGATCACGCTAGAGGTGCTTGTTTTGTGCCACGCTGTCTGACTAGCTGCGACCAGAGATCCGTAGCGATTTGATGCTCAGTAATTACAAACGTTTAATGGAACTCACGTGCACATTTGAAAAGACTCTTTGACCAGGTGTTTCCTTGACACGTCCGTACGCCAGTACCAACCAGGGCGTACCCCGGTGCGCACATGTGGAACAGTAGCTCTCCTTTCTTATAAAACTGTTTGTATAAGCCATAGATTCTAACATTTGGTAAGGAGCTTGGTCTGGTGCAAGTGTTTCCTGTACGAAAATGAACAAACCCTTGTGATTAATTGTTATTTTGACGCATGGCGTCCTGTCTGTCTGTCCGTTCCTCCCTCCCTCCCTCTCTCCCTCCCTCCCCCCCTCTCTGCCTCACTCCCTTACCTTGAGGTTTACAAAGTGGAGTAACACTGGACCACTGACCAGCAATACACATGGGCTCATGACTACCAATAAGATCGTAGCCTTGGTGACAGAAAAACATGACACTTTGGCCCTCAGCAAAGTTGTTGCCATGGCGGACACCGTTCAGTGGTATGCCGGGATCTTTACATTGCGCTGTGAAACAAGAAGTTAAACTTGAGATGCTCCAAGAAAGAATTTCAAACCATGTTAAATGCGAGGTCAAAAAATAGATGTGTTAAGGGGTTATAGTTGAATTCACAAGGGCTGCTTGCGCATGACTAGTGTGGTCAATGTTGTTTGTCGGTGAGTGGTTTCTTAGGATTGGTTGCCTAAGATTGGCTACCGTGGACTGGTTGCTAAGGGTTTAGGGCACCCTTCTTGCAATACTACTACTTACCTCTGCATTGTGGTACCATTCCCGACCAACTGCCATTAGTACAAGTGATTTGTGAATAGCCGAACAGTGTGAAACTCTTCCGGCAGAAGAAAATCACTGTTTGACCTTCAATAAATTTGTCACCATGACGACCACCATTCTCTGGCATCCCTGGGTCACTGCACGAAACTGTCATTAAAGATGATAGATGTTATACAGTGATTTACTGGACAAAGCTGTCGATAGTTATACAATGATTTACTCGACAGAGCTATAGATAGATGTTATACAGTGATTTACTGGACAAAGCTGTCGATAGTTATACAATGATTTATTGGACAAAGCTGTCGATAGATGTTATACAATGATTTACTGGAGAAAGGTGTC